AACGACAGTAAAGTTTAAGTACTAAACAGTTCTTAGCAGTTAGGGCCGCAATCCTGGTAGAGTTGTTATCTAATTTAACTGTAATACTACTGATGAATTTTATATTTTATTATTCTTGGTCGCTAGCATGAACTTTATATAGATGTATGATCGCTCCCTTTTCAGGTTGCTTTGGAAAGGTAACTGGTTTATCCAAGAGAAGAGCTGCAAGATACTTTTAGTAACGTGCGAATCACTCTCGTTCCTTTGAAATGTGATTGATTTTATTTGTGTGTTTAATTCTTACTTTTTTTAATTGCAGTGGAAGGCCAAGATCTCATGACGGTAACCATGCAAATGGGGCATCAAAATTGAAGAAGGATATCACCACGATTGATGACGTTTTAAAGACGTTGGTTGATTGGTTGTCAGAGGAAAGGGAAAGTTTTAAAAAGAATTATTTTTGTTTATGCATGTGTTTGAGCCTATCAAACATAAGAAATGTTCATACCAAAACACTTAGAATTTAGTTGTAATAACCTGCCTGTCAGATATAGGATAATATAAGATATATACACATACCATTTTTTCATATGTACATCGATTTCGCAGTCAATAGATTTGGATTCCACTTCTCCAAATAGTGGCATTTTATATTGCCTGTTATTAGATAAAGCACAAGCCAAATAATGAGAGGTAAATATTAGACAATATTACTGTATCAGGATGCTGTAATCTTTTGTTCAATTCAGTTTTGAGCAATACGTTGTTGGGGTCTTTCTAAACTAAATACTTCTTGGACAATTTTGTCTTTACTCGACCAGTGAGTAGGTCTCATGCCTATGCATTTTTAATTGTACAACTGAGGAACCCATCACATCCTATCCGTGGTATTCCCACTGCTGTTAATTGCCTTGCAACTTTATTGAAGGAACATGTGGTTCGATCTTCATTTGTTCAAACAGATGGAGTGAAGTTGCTCATCCACTCAACAATCCATCCAGGAAACCTCAGTTCATGATTATCAGGTGGAAAAATATTTTGCTTTTTTCCGCAAATGCGTGCGTGAAATCTTTTTGGAGTTGATTATAGTGTATGTCATAATCATATCCTATATTCATGTGAAGTTTCCATGACCTTTTTATTTGAATTCGTAGTGTTGGATCATTTGCCATTACAACTTCTAACTTGCACTTTTTATCTGACCAAAGCTCTTGTATGAAACATGCCTTTGTGTGCGGCTCCTCTCCTACTATGAGCTTGCAGTTGAGTATTTGGCGACTTCTAGATCCTTGCCGAGGTTGATAGAAGTTGTTAAAAGATCAATAGAGGAAAAGGTATGACCTTCATATGTTTGAGATATTTTTATCACCTTTTTGAATTGCTTTGAGGCAGCAGTTGCCTCCTTAGTGTTGGCGATACTTCTTCCGTATCTTCAGTTTGCATATATGAATAATCCTCTATGGAAACTCACAGAGGATTATTCACACTTGTCACACCATTTGATAAAAAATATGTTTTAGAGAGAGAGTGTGTGTTGGAAAAGAATAAATTTATTTGATTGGTTAACATTTAAAAGAGATAATTACACCATTTTTCAATATTTTCTCTTTAATAATGATCCATAAAAGAACTAATAATTTATTTTATTCTCAGAAGATTGACCTTCAAGTAAAATAAAAAACTAGTTATATTTATTTTAAACACAAAGTTTCACACTTGTCACACCATTTGATTGTTAAAAATTTAAATGTCTACAATATTATTTACAATTTTTTGTTTACAAAGATATAATATTATATCCTCTTATTATTAGCATACAAAAGAGATTTATTTAATATATGATTTAGATATTTATTTAAAATATAGAAAAAAATAGAAAAAAAAATACGTTAAAGTTGTCCCACCTTAATCATTAAACTAGTATTCGACCCTGTGTATTTGCACATATGTAAATAAAATATTGTGAGTTATTTTTATGCATATAATGATTAATTATTTTTCTTTCACCTTTTTGGTGGCCAAATTTACAACTAAAGGAGTTGGAATATATTTTTTTTTTAAATTGCGTTTATCTAATTAGATGTAATGTATATTTTGGTACATTTTTTTTTGTGGATTATTTATTATTTATTTAGGAATTTCAAATACGTTTTTTATTTTAAAAAAATTAATTTAAATGTAACCACAATAATAACATCTAATCACATTATACGGTCAACACATTATATAGTCGACTGTCAGTAATCAAAAGTTTAAAATGAATTTTGTAATTTTGAAGTGATTAGTGTGTTGATTATTTAATAATTAAATGAAATATTAAATACATCAAAAGTAACAGTTTTTGGAGGGAAAATGATTAAATTGCCACATAGGTAAAATTAAATAGGTTTTATTAAATGCTATTAGTAATTATATATATACTAGTACAACTCCCGTGTATTACACGGGTGTTTGCTAATTTTTTTTTTTTTCTTAAAATCTAAAATTAATGAAAAAAAAATAGTTAAAAATTTAAATACATTTTATAAAAAATATATATTATTATACATTTAATATGTCACTTTTTATTTGTGCGACTTACCTGTGTTATATTATATTAATTTTATTTAACTTACAACATATAACAACATTAAACATAAATATATCAATTGAGAAATAATTTTATTTTTCTAATGAATATAATTATTTTTTATTATTATAAATATAAATATAATTTATTTATTTCAATATATACAATATGGATGTCAAATCGAAGATCATCAAAAGATTATTAATTTGATATATTATATATGTAAAACCAATAAGAAATACAAAAGTTATCAGCTGTGTTTGGATAACAGCGTTTTGCACAAAAATTAGCTGTTTTAACATTTTGGCTTATTTGACTTTTTGAATCAGCTAAAAATGGTGTTTGGTTAACAGCTTTTTGGTACAACTTTTTTGCTCAAAAAGCTAAAATGCAAAACGCTGCATATAGGAGCGTTTTTTGTTGGCTTTTCAATTTTTTGGTACAAATCAATGCTTGTGGACAAAATTGGCCCTCATTTTTTTTTTTTTTTTCGGTACAAAAATTGGCCCTCATTTAAATGCAAAATGATGTGCGTACTGTTTATGGGCAACTTGACATTTCAACAAAATTACAAATTAATGTATTTTTGTTTTTGAATTTCCTTTTTGTTGAAGGTGTTCGTAGCAATTTCACTTTTAGATGTATTTTTTTTTTTTTTGCTTTCTCCTAGTACTGGATTTAAATTTGTTTTGGGAGTGAGTTTTATGATGTAATAAAGAAATATTTTATTTATTATTAATTTTTTTTATATTTAAATCACTTTGATAAATATTTTAAATATTAATTATTTCTATTTCCTAAATAATTATAAGTTCAACGTAAATTAGAATGATAAAGCATGTTCATGCCTTAAAAGTAATTTTACATGTTAACAGCTAACTAAAATAGCTAATTTTACCAAACACTTTTTTACAAACCGCTAATACAATCCGCTGGTCAAAACAACTAATTCAATCCGCTGGTCAAAACAGCTAATGCAATCCGCTAACTGCTAACAACTAACCGCTATTTACCAAACAAGGCCGATATCTTTTAAAATACATTTACAATTCAATAGCTAATTGAAGGAAACAAATTAAAAGTCATGGATATATTAGTCACTTAGTGTCTCACTATGTAAAATTACAAGGAATTAAAGGGTTATATTAATACAAGTGATATTAAAATACCTAAATTAGCTAAATAATATTTATGGAATGTCCAAACCTAGATTATTAATTATTAATATATCAATATTATTTGTCCAAACCTAATTACGAAGCATGATTCTTTGCCAAGTAGGATTCCGAAGCACCAGAAACAGTCACGTAGGCTCAGCGCATTCGGGAATTATATATAATATTTATTTATGGAATGTCCAAACCTAAATAATTAATTATTAATATATCAATATTATTTGTCCAAACCTAATTACGAAGCATGATTCTTTCCCAAGTAGGATTCCGAAGCACCAGAAACAACCACGTAGGCTCAGCGCATTCGGGAATTATATATAAGGAGGATATATAGATATAGATTCCGCGAGAGAAATGCGACTTAGTGAGTATAACTGAAAACGCTGTGCTGTTATTGAAATAAAAGCAGGCGAGCAAGCGAAGCTTGGGAATTGCAGATCTCACATTTGCTCCCAGATATATACTGACTCCACTCTACTGCCCTCGACGGAATCCATTGATCCTGAGCTACATAACTCAACGACAACGCGAAAAACGTTCTCCGCGGCTCCGATCTCTGTGCCTACAGTCAGGTAACGATCTACTTATTCTGCCAATGAATTTCGTTCTGGATCTGAAATGTCAATATATAATTCGTTGATCGTTATGAATGTAAGCATTATTAACTGTTTAAATCGAGTTTGATTGCTCAGTTTATTCTTGGATCTTTTCACTCAGTGCTTCTATTTTAATGTGGATCCATGAGACATGTCCATCTGTTGACGAGCCATGTTTGTATTGACGTATAATAGATCTCCATGACCTGAGTAATATTTTTTCTATGGTACCTTTTGATGTTCGGATTCATTTTGTCACCATCGAACGTGTGATCATGAACTGGTATCAATTTAGGTTCTGGTGGATTTTGTATCTCGGAGGTTGGCCTATTGAGTTGTGTTTCCTTCATTGTATCTGTTGTTTATGTTTGACTTCCGATGTGATGTATTTCTATCGAGGGGTATTCTTAGCTTGACATGATTGCCTATCATCATTTGGGCTATAGATGGCTACGTGTGTCACTCTAACTTGTGCATTTGATTATCATGGGACATACTCATGTTGCGAACCAATGCTGTCATTTAACTCAATTTGCTTAGATCTTATTTTTGTGCAATGTCCGATATTGTTTAACTTCAGAAAAATAAATAAATAAGTAAAAATAAGTATTTAGTTACTTTAGATTTCTTGTTCTATATTGATGAAGTTGTATTTTATATTCAGGTATAAGGTGAAAAATGGAAAAATCTTGTTCTCTGCTGGTGCATTTTGACAAGGGCACACCAGCGCTCGCTAATGAGATCAAAGAGGCACTTCAAGGAAATGATGTAGCGCAGCTAAGGTTGATGCCATGAAAAATGCCATCATGCTTTTGCTTAATGGTGAAACCTTGCCTCAGCTGTTCATAACTATAGTTAGATATGTGTTACCATCTGAGGACCACACTGTTCAGAAACTGCTATTGCTGTACTTGGAGATCATCGATAAGACTGATGGAAAGGGGCGTGTGTTGCCAGAAATGATCTTAATATGCCAGAATCTCCGTAATAATCTCCAGCACCCCAATGAATACATTCGTGGCGTCACTCTAAGGTTCCTTTGCCGGCTTAATGAAGTGGAGATAATTGAACCTTTGATCCCCTCCATTATGTCAAATTTGGAACACCGGAACCCTTACGTTAGGAGGAACGCCATTCTTGCTGTGATGTCAATTTACAAGCTCCCACAAGGTGAGCAGCTGTTGGTTGATGCCCCAGAGACTATTGAGAAGTTCCTCTCGACGGAGCAAGACCCATCAACTAAGAGGAACGCCTTTCTGATGCTTTTCAACTGCGCACAGGATCGTGCCATTAATTACCTTTTGACCAATGTTGACAGGGTACCAGATTGGGGTGAGCTTATGCAGATGGTTGTATCGGAGCTGATTCGGAAAGTCTGCAGGACCAACAAAGCAGAGAAAGGGAGATATATTAAGATTATTATTTCTTTACTGATTGCTCCCTCAGCAGCTGTTGTTTATGAGTGCGCTGGAACCCTTGTTTCCTTGTCATCTGCTCCCACAGCTATTAAAGCAGCAGCAAATACATACTGCCAGCTTCTTCTCTCACAGAGTGACAATAATGTTAAGCTTATTGTGCTTGATCGACTGAATGAACTTAAGACTTCTCACAAGGATATTATGGTTGATTTGATAATGGACGTTCTGAGAGCACTATCAAGCCCTAACCTTGATATTCGAAGGAAAACACTTGATATTGTTCTTGAACTAATAACACCCCGCAATGTTAGTGAGGTGGTGCTTACTTTGAAGAAGGAAGTCGTAAAAACTCAAAGTGGGGAGCTTGAGAAAAATGGAGAATACCGCCAAATGCTCATTCAAGCTATTCATTTGTGTGCTATAAAGTTTCCCGACGTGGCTAGCACAGTGGTTCATTTGTTAATGGATTTCTTGGGAGACAGCAATGTAGCATCTGCTGTAGACGTTGTAGTTTTTGTGAGAGAGATTATTGAAACTAACCCAAAGTTGAGGGTTTCCATCATTACTAGGCTTCTGGATACTTTTTACCAGATCCGAGCAGCAAGGGTTTTTTCTTGTGCTCTTTGGATTATTGGAGAGTATTGTCTATCTCTTTCTGAAGTTGAAAGCGGCATTGCAACCATCAAGCAGTGCCTTGGAGAGTTGCCCTTCTTTTTGGTTTCTGAAGATGAGGATGCTGCGGAATCTTCAAAGAAAGCCCCACAGGCAACTTCTATCACGGTTTCATCTAGAAGACCAGCTATCCTTGCTGATGGAACTTATGCCACTCAAAGTGCTGCCTCAGAAACTGTTTTCTCCTCTCCATCTGTAATTCAGGGATCTTTGACGGTAGAGAATTTGAGATCTCTTCTTCTCACTGGTGACTTTTTCCTTGGGGCAGTTGTTTCGTGTACCCTAGCAAAGCTCATTTTAAGATTAGAAGAGGTTCAACCATCAAGGATTGAGGTGAACAAGGCAACCGCAAGTGCATTATTGGTGATGGTCTCAATGCTACAGTTAGGACAATCCTCAGTTCTCCCACACCCAATTGATAATGATTCTTATGACAGGATTGTTATCTGTATAAGGTTGTTGTGTAACACAGAGGACTCTCTTAGGAAGATCTGGTTAAAGTCTTGCCGTGAAAGTTTTGTTAAGATGCTTTCAGATAAACAACTGCGTGAAACTGAAGAAATTAAAGCAAAAGCTCAGGTTTCTCATTCACAGCCAGATGACCTTATCGACTTTTACCATTTGAAGAGCCGAAAGGTGAGAAACTGCATTTGCCTCTTTTAGTTTGATGGAATTGGATAGTTGTTATGAGAATAAGTATCTCTCTCATTGCGCCTAATCATACAGTTACTCACTTTTCCCCCGATTCTCTCTGTGTGCCCACTGAGAAGTGATCTAGGATTGTCCTTCAGTTTCTCATTAATTGGCCTTTTTTTTAATCATTTATTGAGCATTTAAGATTTATCTCAGCCTATATTTTTTATATCCTCTTTTTGGATGTTTTCAGGTCATTTTCCCAATATTTTGGATGTCTGTGGTCACAATTTTACACTTTTATCTTAAAATGCCTTTCATGTACATTTTCAGTGAACATTATTCAATGAGAATGAAAATAATTTGACACTTGTTGATGGCATAAATTGTACACGCGCCTGCTGAGGTTTTCTAACTTAAGCTTAATTTGTAGTGGACCACAACGTATTGATTGCTCATCATTTCACATTTTGTGATCTTTACTTCAGGGCATGAGCCTACTGGAGCTGGAAGATCAGGTCCAAGATGATCTTAAACGAGCTACTGGGGAATTTGTTAAGGATGCAGAGGATGCAAATAAGTTAAACCGGATCATTCAACTCACAGGGTTCAGTGACCCTGTATATGCTGAAGCTTATGTAACAGTTCATCATTACGATATTGTCCTGGATGTGACAGTTATAAATAGAACCAAAGAGACTCTTCAGAATTTGTGTTTGGAGTTGGCTACAATGGGTGATCTTAAACTTGTCGAGCGCCCCCAGAATTATACTCTAGCACCTGAGTCTAGCAAGCAGATAAAAGCAAATATTAAGGTGTCCTCTACAGAAACTGGAGTCATATTTGGCAACATTGTTTATGAAACATCAAATGTGCTTGATCGGAATGTTGTTGTCCTTAATGATATTCATATCGATATCATGGATTACATCTCTCCTGCTGCATGTAGTGATGCTGCTTTTAGAACCATGTGGGCAGAATTTGAATGGGAGAACAAGGTAATGCTGTTGTCTGTATTTATGTTGCTATTCAGGTTCAAATATGTGAGCATATCCACTATTTTACAATTTCTTTACTGTTTGGGTGAGTGATATGTATAGAAATTGCTTGAACATACTGATTATATAGGTTTATGAAGTTCCATGTTTTCTTGGGGTTAGTGTACTAGTGCTCCATATAAATAAACTAGTTGAATTTTTAATCTGGATTATCACCTTATAAAGTCTAATATAGGACTTGTTCCCCTACAGCCTCCTAATGATCTTTGATCTTTTCACATGGTTAATGAAGCTAGTGTTTAGTAGTATGCTACTAGTCAGAAATTTTTGTTGTCAATACAAGTCTAAAGTCTTGTGGACCTTGCCCATTGAGATGTGCCTCTTCCTCCAAAAATTGTTATCTTATGTTGTAATGTGCTCCCTTGTCATCCCGGCACGCATTACTTTTATGTTTAAGTTTCATGCTTCTGTTATTTCAGGTCGCCGTCAACACGACAATTACAGATGAGAAAGAATTCCTTGACCACATTATCAAATCAACCAACATGAAATGCCTAACTGCACCGTAAGTTTTCTCACACTCCTCGATAACTAAATCTGGAAACTGCTGTCTGTAAGGAAACCATTATGCTTTCCTGTTACGGGGTATTGGAGATCGTGTTTCCATCTGTTTTGGTTGTGAAATACGTTATATTAGTTCCATGGTGTAAGTTTTATACTTACATTCTGAATTCGATACGTTTGACTTGTGTTGTTGAAATTATAGGCTGGAGAATTATTTGGCCTGCTGAATGTAGTCTGAAAACCTTGTAATTTGGAGTCACATAGTTGTTTGCTGGGAACTGTCAAATGATAGATCTGTTTTCAAGCCGGACACTGAAGCATATTTCTGGTGCTTATGCTGCAGATTGATAATTTCAGTTGCTTGAAACTGTCTAGGAGATAAAACCTTTCATTTAATATGGCACATGGTGGATTCATTCATTTTGTGTGAAATATTAATTGATCCTCGATTATTCTTATCTAGTTATAATGCCAGTAAAATATAGTTTAGTTGATTCCCAGCATGTAAGAACATATGCTGAGTTTTATCTAAAATTTCAGTTTTATCTAAAAATTGGAGAAATGTGGGACAGCGAAAACACATACAATAGTTCTTTTATATTCCATCCTCGCTCCTTTCAATAACATGAAGGGTATGTTTGATGTAGCACGAAGAATAACTCGGTGGACCGGCCTGAACGGTTAGCTCGGATAGGCGGTCCAAGGAAGTTTAGAGCTAATTTATGTGATACACGGTATTAGTTAAAGATATTCATGAAAGTTGGTGTATATCTACACAATTATTGAGGAGTATCAGTGTTCTTGTTTGTTTAGGAAACTCATTATCTTGGGAAGTAAGTCATTAAACCCCTTATAAATAAGGGACCAGGTTCATTTTTTAATCCTAAGCTCTTAAGATTACTTAAGATACACGATCAAAATATTAGATTTCTGACTTGAGCGTCGGAGTGTCTACGCCGGGGCCCAGCCCCGGTGCTTTGCAGGTCGATCCGGTTCTTGAAGACCAAGGCGATCTCAACCAAGATGAGATGAACGGTTCGACCAGCAATCTCGGTGAGTCAATTTTTTGTGGCTCATCAAATTGGCGCCGTCTGTGGGGACTCCCGATTTCTACCGGAAGAAGTAAATCGGCACCCGTTTCTTGTTACCAAAAAAAAAAAAGAAAAAGAGAAGAAATCCTTACCCAAAAGAACGAGGGTCTGTGCAAAAAAAAAGGGAGTATTGTGGCGAAAATTTAACATGAATTTTGTATTCTGGTGAGATTCCAATTGATGGGGACCAATCCCAATTTCTACCGAAAAGAAAATTTGCACCCAGTTATCCCCGTTTTATGTAAAAGAAAAATAGAGGAAAACAACCACCACGTTGCCCCGATGTCGAATCACCCGGTCGACGCGCTGCCCCGCGATCCGACCACCGCCGGTGCCCAATTCTTATTACAACGGACCTGTTGCAGCAGAGGTGATGCCGGAGCCTCCCGCCACCGTGAAATAAAGAGAAAGGTCGGGGAAAAGAAACATCGCTCGACCCCGAAGCCTGACCGTCGCGTTGCTCTCAATTTTTGTTCGTCCAGCCCATCGACGCCGCCCACAACTGCGGTCTGCTGCGAGGATTTGGACGAGGCGCAAGGAGGATGACAATGCCCTCACAACGATTTGCTTTGGGCCAAGAATTAGCAGCTGATCATTTCAAAAAAAATTGTCGCTAAGAGCCGTGTAGGGGCTATTTATCAATGGGCCCAAAGATTGAAATTTGCATGAAAAGGAAAGGAGTAGCATATTGGGCCTAGTCTTTTGGTTGGCCCGTGTAGTGTACAATTTACACCAACCCAACTCAATTGGGAAGATACTCTGGACAAAAAAAAAAAGTGACCAAACGGTGGCCGATGGATTTTTGGGCAGCAACACAGGAGATGGGGATTAAAATCGACTAGCTCATCAAGTGTAGACAAGGAGAGAAGGCTCGACCCAAAGGCAGCCATTGGTTCGAGTCTGACCACTGCGTTGCCACCGTCGACGGAGGTCCGCCGCTGCCCCAGGCTTGAGACAAGCTGAGGACGACTATTAAAAAAAAAATAAAAAAAAATAAAAAAAGGAGAAAAAAACAGAAGCAGCAGGTTTGTGGAAAAAGATAGGCGAACATTTGGGAAGAGAGGCGAACTTTTGTGAAGAAAAGAAGTGCGAGCTGCGGCGGCCGGATTGGCCATCGGAAATAACCAATCCAACAGCGGATTTCACACCGGGAGAGCTGTACCCGTGATCGTGCCGCACATACCTAGGGTTTTGGCCGGCGGATTTTGCAATTCTTTTGGGACTTACAACAATTATGATACCCAAGCAGCATTTTTGTGGTTATAGCAAGCCTCGATGGAGGTTGATGTGATGCACGGGGCAACCGTGGCAAAAGGCGAAACTCCGACACAACGGGAGCTTTTACGCGAGAAAATTTGGAGCAAAGGACGGAGATAATTCCGGCCTCGATACACCGACAAATTGATCACAACGGGTGGCCGTTGTTTTTCTGGTCCCCTTTTTCCAAGAACCGCAATCGTAAGGAGTACAGCCACGACTGTTAATAGTCTGAGAAGGGTCGCGAAGGTGAACGAAGAACTTATGGCTTAATGGGCTGCTCTTGGCTCAGTTCGTGATGTGGATGTTAATATTTGGGCCTAATATATTATTAACCCATGAAAAGTAAGAGGAAAAAAGGCATGATATGCTGTTGAATACGGTAATAGGGCCTGGTCATATGGCCCACAAAAAAAGAGGCAGCCGAAAGAGAGCAGGGCACGGGGTTGGAAGAAAAAGAGCGAGAGACAGAGGGACACAACAACGAGTTTTTTGTAAGTGCTTTGTGCCCAGGAAAAAGAAATGTTCTTTGAGACGACACTTCTATAAAAGATGGTCTAAGGAGTATAAAGCTTAGGAGGGCCCACATGAGTTGAACGGGGATCTTCCCTATATTAAAAATAGAAAAAAAGGGTGCAGATTTTTGAAGAAAGAAGAACCAACTGCAGGACTGTAGTTTTTTGGGGAGGTAGCAATTTTAGATTTCAGGCGAGGAGGACCTGAAACGACCTGATGGGTTATTTCGAGCTCTGAGATTTTGACACGAGAGGTCGGGAGGATCTGACGAGTTGTGGCACGCTCCATTTCTTAGACGAGGTCGGGAGGGAGATATTTTTTATGCCCACTTGTTTGCGTAAAGAGTCGAGGCGACCTGGTTGCTCTAGAATGGAGGTCAAAAAGGCTCCAGAAGAAGATTCACACCCCGATTATTCTCTTAAGAAGGCCAGCACTGATATTTTCTACTTCAGGTACATAAGCAAGTCTCTACCCTATCCAATGGTCAAGTTCAAATATGACGATAAATTTCTTTGCGTTATTTCTTGTGAAGAGGTATCAATTGCTTTCATATATTTGGAAATATGTTTTTGTGATGCTAAGATAAGTGCAGGGTTGGCCTAGAGCCTAGATGCGTGTTTGCAAAGATCGCTGCTGCGGTTCTCGAGCTCGTGGAGCTTAGGAGCGCCTAGATGCGTGTTTGTAAAGATCGCTGCGGCGGTTCTCGAGCTCGCGGAGCTCAGAGCGCCTAGATGCGTGTTTGTAAAGATCGCTGCGGCGGTTCTCGAGCTCGCGGAGCTCAGAGCGCCTAGATGCGTGTTTGCAAAGATCGCTGCGGCGGTTCTCGAGCTCGCGGATCTCAGAGCGCCTAGATGCGTGTTTGTAAAGATCGCTGCGGGGTTTCTCGAGCTCGCGGAGCTCAGAGCTCCTAGATGTGTGTTTGCAGAGATCGCTGCGGCGGTTCTTGAGCTCGCGGAGCTCAGGAGCGCCTAGATGCGTGTTTGTAAAGATCGTTGCGGCAGTGCTCGAGCTCGCGGAGCCTGGGAGCACCTAGATATGTGTTTGCAGAGATCGCTGCGGCGGCTCTTGAGCTCGCGGAGCTCAGGAGCGCCTAGATGCGTGTTTGTAAAGATCGTTGCGGCGGTTCTTGAGCTCGCGGAGCTCAGAGCGCCTAGATGCGTGTTTGCAGAGATCGTTGTGGCGGTTCTCGAGCTCGTGGAGCTCGGGAGCGAGTCCTTGTACTCATAGCCTAGATGCGTGTTTGAAGAGATTGTTGTGGCAGAGCGAGTCCTCTGACACATAGCCAATCAGTCTGAAGGCCTGGTTGTGCTAGTGCTCGAGCTCGTGAAGATAGACGGTAGGCGAGATAGGGCGAAAGCCTGGTGAAGACGTCGCTCGAGCTCGCGGAGCTCGCCAGTGGCCAAGTTTAGGGCGAAAGCCTGTTGGAGATGTCGTTCGAGCTCGTGGAGCTCGGTGGTGGTCGAGATAGGGCGAAAGCCTGTTGAAGACGTCGCTCGAGCTTGCGGAGCTCGGCGGAGTCCAATTCGAACAATTACCGAGCCTATCTTAGTCCGGCATGAAGTTAAACTCATCGCCGCATTAGGGCAGGATAGTCGTTGTGTTTATGAGCTCGGCAGTATCGTGTGCTCGGCATTATCATTGTGTTTATAGGCTCACCAATATCGTTGTGTTTATGAGCTCGGCAGTATCGTGTGCTCGGCATTATCATTGTGTTTATAGGCTCACCAATATCGTTGTGTTTATGATATCGGCAGCGGGACCTTAGACCATCAGGGCAAAAAGTCTGTTGTGGCATTGCTCGAGTTCTCAGAGCTCGGCAGCGGGTCCCTTGATTTGTAGCTAGATCAAGGGTAATTAGCCCATCGTACCGGTGCCCGATTTCGTAGAGCTCGGGAGGCCGTAGATACGGGAGTCATTGTAACAACTCGAGCAAATAGTGCGAATGTCAAGCGTTTTAACGTGGCAGAACATCGAGCATGTTACTCGGGGGCCACAAAGGCAATGAAAGCGAAGTTAGCCTAAGAGCCATAGTTGCATGTAGATGGCTGCAGAACTCCGACATGGTAGGTTGTGGGGGCTAGACGAGCCCAGGACCCCCCACGTTGTAGTCCTACGATATACACTTGGGCGAGACATGATTGTTCTACTCTTAGACAAGTCTTATATTCATAAGCTTGTCTAGAGTGGGGGGCTAGATGATGTAGCACGAAGAATAACTCGGTGGACCGGCCTGAACGGTTAGCTCGGATAGGCGGTCCAAGGAAGTTTAGAGCTAATTTATGTGATACACGGTATTAGTTAAAGATATTCATGAAAGTTGGTGTATATCTACACAATTATTGAGGAGTATCAGTGTTCTTGTTTGTTTAGGAAACTCATTATCTTGGGAAGTAAGTCATTAAACCCCTTATAAATAAGGGACCAGGTTCATTTTTTAATCCTAAGCTCTTAAGATTACTTAAGATACACAATCAAAATATTAGATTTCTGACTTGAGCGTCGGAGTGTCTACGCCGGGGCCCAGCCCCGGCGCTTTGCAGGTCGATCCGGTTCTTGAAGACCAAGGCGATCTCAACCAAGATGAGATGAACGGTTCGACCAGCAATCTCGGTGAGTCAATTTTTTGTGGCTCATCAATGTTATTGCCTAATATCTTGCTTGTGCGGTTTTTTTTCAGATCTGCTTTAGAAGGTGGGTGTGGTTTCTTGGCGGCCAACTTGTATGCCAAAAGTGTATTTGGGGAGGATGCTTTGGTCAATATCAGCGTAGAAAAACAGGCAGATGGCAAACTTAATGGATATATCAGGATAAGGAGTAAGACTCAGGGCATTGCCCTCAGCTTGGATGACAAGATTACCCTCAAGCAGAAAGGAGGGAGCTGATCATCTTTGTGGTAAATGCATTATTTTATTCTAGTAACTCTCCTTTGTTTATTATACGTGTTCTCGGTTTTTATGGGGATTCATATACTTCGATTTTTTTATTTTTTTTAATTTTTAACACAGCCATGTTTATTCTTTTCAACCACCGGTGATAATATTATGTTTGGATGATTATAAAAATTGTCCCCCGATCCTTGAGATGAAGCTTACATGCATGAAGTTTCAGTTTATATCTTAAAGTTGCAAATAGCTCTTGATCCCTGAGATGCAACTTACTTGCACAAAATGTCGGTTAAATACTTAAAGTTTCAGATAACCGTGAGCTACCACACGAACCTTGTGAGGTTTGTATATGTTGCAAATATTGATCTTTTTTTTTTTTTTTT